CCACTTCAAACACAATATACATATTCTTCAACAACAAAAAGTTAACTTCAATTTCAATTTATTTATAAATCTATAATAATTTTAAGTCAGAAATCATTTTGAAATAAAACTTAATATTTTGAAAAATCAATAATATCTATAAATATAAAATAACAAACCTTTATATCAACCAAAATCCCCAAAAACAAAAATGCTAAAACTCTTCAAAGGGTTTATAACTAGATTTTTGCAGAATTCACTAAATTTTCTCGCTTTTGGGCGAATATGGCTATAATTAAGGCCTTAATAATGTTTATTTATTATAATAAATTCAATTTATTTTCGGATGCGATAATCGTATCGCCGACTCAATTGTTATAACAATATATGATATTATTCTTATATATTATATGATATCGATTTTGTTCGTGACCTCAGAAACAATATAAGATCAGAAACACAGATGCGATCAAACATTTAGTTCATTGCATCTCTTTTTCTTCTTTCAATACTCGAAACACTCAATGAAATTAACGCCTTTTGATTGTCTAGAATTTAATTACTTTTATCGGTGACACAAAACAAACACTTTCCCCATATTATAGCCATAAATCTTTGTTTTGCTAAACTGTCTTTAGATTTAGCTATTCTTTATATATATAATCCAAAGATTATTCTTTAATCAAAATTTTATACTTGAAAACAAAATCTCGAGTTTATAGGTGTCTGAAAATCGTAAATAATGTTTGCTAAAGATTTCAATTCTCTGTTTATAAAAGATTCACTTCTTCTTTAGTTTATATAATACACCGAATATTATATAATATGCAAAATATAAAGTATTGAAAAAATTAGCTAATATGTGATTTATATGTGTTATATTCTCTTGGATTTATTGAGTGCATTATTATGTTTATCAGATTATACATTAAATATAAAAATAGACTAAACTTTATATCAATATAAATATGACATATCATGCCAAAGTGTAATAATAATAATAATACTATAAATTCATCAAAAATAATAGTGAATTGCAAAATCAAATATTGAACAATTTTCATAAGTAATTTTGCGAATTGTTAACTACTTTATATCATAATTATATAGTCTATAATAAAGTTTTTTAATGAAACAGTGGTTTATAGCAATTAAATTAATATTTATTTAAAGGACGCTTGAATTACTGAAACAATTACTGGAAATAATAAGTCATTACTGATTAATAGGAGTTTTTGCGATAAAAATCTATATTTATTGGAGATATAATGAAACAATTTTGGCAATCAATTAATCAGAAGCGATATAAACTGATGGCACTATAGATAACAAATCATTTCGCATGATATCGGATAAGACATACGAATACTTTGAGAATTACACACAAACGACAATTTGTGATAGACAATAGATTTACAGCAACAGAATATTCTTTAAGACTCTATCATACGTTTTGGATATTAATTAATTAATTATTAAGTGAAAAGATTATTTACTGTACTATAAAAGATACACAATACAGAGAATTAAGTATATGTGATAAGTTGTCACTGATAACTAAAAAAATAACGGTAAATGATATAAAGTTAATATGAGTCCGAAGTTAATGTTGCATAAATTGCATTATAAATCAAAGCCTATAATAAAATAACAAAAACAAATTAAATATTGAATGCATTATATGTGAGAAATAATTTATTCCAAATAAATATGAATAGAAGATAAGTCAAGCAATATGTTTAGTAAATGTCTTGTTATTTAGTGTTTTGTGTGCTATAAATAAGTTATACATTAAGTATTTGTCGATTTTATGTCTGAATTGTCGTAACTCTTATATACAATGTAATGTTATGTTAGAGTTGAGCACAAATTCATAACTGAATGCCAGGGGTTTGAGGCGATTGTGTGTGAATATCGTGTGAATAGATATTATTTACAATACATTTGCTTTCGAAACGCGAAACTATAGTTACGTTTATGTTATATCTGATCCGTGACCGCAGGGCCGCTACTTTATTGACAGAGATGGCCAACTCTTCCGCTTTATTATAGACTATTTGCGGACCCGAAAGATAGTATTGCCCGAAGTGTTCGCCGAGAAGGAGCGCCTCCGCACGGAAGCCGAATATTATAAACTCGCGGACTTAGTCTCACAGCTGTCGACAAACAAACGGCTATCACTGACCCCAATCTCGTCGACGGCGACTCCGCCGCCGGTGTCTCCGAGCTATGGCGCCAACGGATTCATAACCGTCGGATACCGCGGATCCTTTGCCTTCGGACGCGACGGACTCTCAGACATAAAGTTCCGTAAACTGACGCGAATACTAGTGTCCGGCAAAGTGTTACTCTGTCGGGAAGTGTTTGGCGAGAATCTGAATGAGTCCCGAGACCCGGACCACGGGGTGGACGACCGCTACACCGCCCGCTATTTCCTGAAGCACTTGTCGCTCGAGTGGGCGTTTGACAACTTACANCGAGAATCTGAATGAGTCCCGAGACCCGGACCACGGGGTGGACGACCGCTACACCGCCCGCTATTTCCTGAAGCACTTGTCGCTCGAGTGGGCGTTTGACAACTTACAGGAGGCGGGCTTTCGATGTGTGGGCACATGTGGTTCGGGCACTTCGTGCGGAACCGGCGAACCATTGAAGCCAGGAATCGATTCCGAAGAGAACCGATGGAACCATTATAACGAATTTGTCTTCTGTCGGCCTTAAGCTCTTTTAGCCAAACATTTGGTTAATTAAGATAAATGTATTTAAATTGAAAATGTTTGACACAAAATTCATTGTGAAAGTAATTAACTTATTATTGTTATTGAGTATTGATTCTATTGATTGACTTTTTAGACAATTATAAAATACAATTTGTTTAATTGGTTTTTATTTCACTGCTTATTATTATGTAAACATGTTTATTGTTTAAATACCCAAAACATTTGATAATAATTTTGTAAAAACATAATTTCTAATCAAACAAGAAATTTAAAGTATTGATACATAATCTTAAAAGTAGTAAAAATAATTGTATTTTGATTTTGCAAAAGAAAAACAGATCACAACATAAAGAAATAATTTTAAATTTTAACTATGATTAATAACATTCATAAATATATTGTATTAACAATTGTTTAGCTTTTAACTGTTGGCTAAACACCGATGAATGTGGTCTATAATCGTAGACCAAAAACCAGTGAAACGAATATAATTTTATTATTATTTTTGAAAAAACTAATTTAAAACGAAAGCGTTTCTCAAAAAATTTAATTAAAATCTTATGATTAATGAATGCTTTTAATACTCAATATTTTCTCAGATATTCTTCAGCAGCGAATCAAATGAATAGTTTTCCCCATTATTTGTCATTTGTTTTATTTTTCGTGCAAAAGAAAGGTTTAAAAACTATTATATTTTTAACAAATTACAAACAAAATTGCATTTTTAAAATGTAATCAGAGATTCTTTAAAGAAAACATGCAATCATTTTCTTGTGAATACTTTTCAAATCAAACATTGATTTTATATCACATTTATTATTCACAAAACATATGTTGTCTACGAAGCGAATGGATAAATATATTTAGGAATGCTTTTTCTTTCTCTTTTATTTTCTCTCTCTTTCTCTCCCTCCTTATCTCCTATTCTCTCTCTTATTACTGACCAAAACATATGATATTTGGCTAACATTTTTGTAATGCACGGGAAGACAATTTCTTAGACCTATTTCTACACATTATTTCTCTTGTGAAACAAATTCCTACAAAACGTGAAACAATTTGGTTGCCATACAACTCATGTTAAATGAATTGTTTTTATCAATTAACAATTTTAATTAATTAAAAGGCAAAAACAAAAATACTTAATATAATTGAAATACTAATTATGAATGGGAACACACTTTTCGTATTAATTTATATATAAATATCCGGACGACTGAAATATTTTTCCTTAATTAAGTTCATTCGTAGAGAAGTAAACATAAAAATGTTTTCATGTGTAGAGAAAATATACACAGAATATAGTGAAGTATATATCGTCTATAAATATATAATATTGAATTGAAAGGGCTATACAAATGCAAACCTCATAATCAAATTCTCAGACATTTTTGTCAATTATCGAGAAATAAAGTTTATATTAAATTAAAATTAATGTTTTTGTCAGTTGTTGAGTGCAATGTTATTTCAAATCACATACTTTTATTCACTAATTGAATCTCCGCTTAAATGTCTTTCATAAGGCTTTTGAAAAGTTATACAAAATTAGAGGCAATTCACATACATATACAAAATATATACACTTATTACACATACATATACATACATTCTTATCGCACAAAATTAATATCTAAGTATAAACACAAAAATTAATTAATAATTATAACAAAGAAATATAATCAATACGTTTAACACGTAAAGAATAAGTCTAATAATAAAAATTAAAATAATTGAATTCACATAATGTTTGCATACATTAGTGATGAGAAGGGATTCTCCACACGAGGTGTTGTATAAGTTGGGGCTGCGATAGCTTTGTGTGGAGATGACATTTCTCATATATTTCCTGTCTCTCAAACCATTTCATTACTATTCAATTCTCAATCAATTATTATAATTAATTATCTTATCTTTCATTCACATTCACTCTCAAACACATATAATAAACCTAATGTTGAAAAAACATTGTAATGTTATACGAATATTATTAATAATACTTTATTATATATACCGTATAATAGGTGGAGAAAAATTGAGTTAATCGTCTCTTATATGATGAATGAATTTTTGAATACAAAAAATATGATTAGTTTTTGAGAAACAATGAGTAGAGAAGTGCTATTATTGAGTGACAAAGATTGAGATTTCTATCTTCATTACAAACTAATACCATAATTTGTAATTCAAATTCAGATGTTATGAATACATAATTCAATTTGAAAGATATATGAAAGATATATATGAGTTAATGATTTAATTTTAGTAAAATTCAAAGCTATTAATATAATTATTACTATTATTAACACAATTATTAATATAATCGGCGAAAGCCTTGTTCTACTTATTATTATTATTATGAAGGGCTATATTGTGATCATATTTACTAAACTTTATTAATATTAACAATAATTACTTGTTGTCACGGATTAATTCATAAAAACATTGTTATACTATTAACAACATTACTATACATTATATAATATTTTAAAAATATTATTTTCGCACACGTTTTTAATACAAATTTAAAAATTTTGCGCTTTAATTGTATAACTAATCAAAAGCATAGCATTTATTCTGTGTTTTACCATTTAATCCATATTTTAAATTAATTTTTAGATATAAATTATAATTATTATTATGTATAACGTATTAATTGAAAAGCTTTGATGAGCTTAACAATATTGAAAGAGCAAATTGGGTAACAAAACAATTAACTACAAGAAATGTTATTAAATATTACAAATAATAATATATAAAAAAATATTTGTGAGTTTTGATTCATTTTAAACAATTATATATAAATACAAATACAATACAGTATTAATATTCTATGACATAATATATAAAGAATACTGTAATATATAAAAAGAAAATGTTAGACAAATCTCTATGTTTTCTGCTTAGGATTTATTGTTTGTAATATAACTTAAAATTTAAATAAATATAAATTATCAAAATTTATTTGTATATGTTTTTCATTTATTTAAAAAAGCAAAATTTTAACCCAAAAATAAAATGTTTACTTATTATATCTTCAAATATGAAACCTTTGTTTAGAAAATGTCTAAAAATCGATACCAGAAATGACTGCAAGTTCTGTATTACTGAGAAAATTATTTCATAATCACATTATATATCAACGCCTGAATCCAATTTCATTCGCAATTTTATTTTGGTTTTCGACACATATTTTTGAAGCGAACGAGTATTTCAACGTTTAATAAATGCATGAATTTATCATTTAATTTTTAATTAAAATAATTGCATTCATTGTACGCTTTGATTGCTTTATTAATCACAAAAATAGTAATAACGAAAGCCTTAGATGTAATGCTACGGACAGCTTATCTATCATCTCGTCGTTTATATCAATGCTATTCCGGAACTCAAAAAAATATATACAGAATATTCTGTATTCTGTGGTAAATTTCAATGAATTTTAATAAATATTATGCATAACATATAAATTGCGTTGAGAACCACAATGATGAATCACATTGTCTACATATTCAGGTAAATATTAAATATTTTTGTTAAAAGGCAATGCAATTCCTTAATGTATTTTGTCATTTGGGGCTTTCAGAGCAGCGCTACTTCTTTTAATATATTAATTTTAGTCCAACTTTAAGACAATTATAAGCAGTATTCATGAATTTTAAATGAAAATTATTATCATTATTATTCAAATTGACTCAAACTTTTTGAAAGAGTGTCTCTAACGAAGTCTCTCGTAAGTAAAGTATATGAATATTTATAACACAAATAGCGAATTTAATTTTGCTTTAGTATTATATTTTGGTATTTTTATATTTCTTATAAATTTAGATTTATTTGCAAATCCGATTCAAAATGAATACTTTTTTAAATGAATTTTTAAAAATCGTGAACAGAATTTTTGCAATAAATTTGTGTTTATATTAAATCTTTAAAAAGGAGACAATATTTTTTTAAGAATCTAAAACATTTTGCAAATAATCCCATCAACCAAAACATTTATTTTATAAAGTCATCGATTTAAGCTAAACGTTAACATTTTTATATTTTAATATTAAAATTCATACATTAAACAATATTTTGTTTTATATTATTTTATTAAATAATAATTATTATTTACATAAATTAATAATTTTTAATATAATATGACAATTGGGGATAATTTTTAGTTAAATTATACTTAAATGTAAATTTTGAATTTAAAAATATTTATAAAATTAAAAATATTGTTTGAAAATGTTTAAGATTTTAATTCAATTATCTCTAACGTGTAAAGAATTTATTTAAAGTTAATCTAATATAATTTGATTATCACTTTGAGTAACATTATATTTATGTAACGATATTTTAAAAAATCAGAATAGTCGTTTATATGGTAATTTATTTCAAAGGCTTTAGAAATTATTTTATATAATTATATTTTATAACTCCAAAAAATATCGATTATATAAATGGTTAGAGAATAGAGAGGAGATTATAGGCATATAAGACATAGAGAATGGCAAACATCTGTTCAGAATCTGATTAATAATTTCTATTCACGACAAAAACAAAGCAAAAACAAATTTAATTAATAAAAAATTCATTGCAATCAAAACACAATTAAACATAATTGTGACATATTTTTGTGTGTAAATTAAATTACTGTACATTTAAATGGTAAGTCAAATAATGGATAATTGTATGTTTGGTGATGTGATGACAGACACACTCACAGACCTATTGTTGTAATGCATTGCTGAATATGAAGTGACAGTCACTCTAACGAAAAGCCAAATAAGTGGAAGAAATTCTGTGAGTAATGTATTCGTAGGACCACTGCATGAGAGAGAGAGAGAGAGAGAGAGAGAGAGACGACAAGACTGAGGGATGGTGAAGGATGAGGTGGAGATTCAGTATTGTGCTGAACAACAATTCAAAACTTACGGTTCGTTGTATTCCGGGTTTTTTTGTATTTTATTTTTGGTCAAAATAACTCAAATGAATGGGTTTTTCACTCGAAAAAGA